CACTCTCACTCTCACTCTCACTCTCACTCTCACTCTCACTCACACACACACACTCTATTCTATGAATTAGACTAGATTTCATAAGCCTGTGATGAAGTGGGACTGTGAAACTAGCTCAATGTGTAAATTGTAATTGAGGAATTTTTAATTGAGCAATGGAACTGTACTATGCATTGGCTATTGCAGAAGTTGAAAAATATTGGCATATCGGAAAAAATCCAATATTGTGCATCCCAAGTACTTATAATGAATGAAGCTTCCCTTTGTTGGTAAGAGATTTCTAAACGCTTCTGATTACAGAGCCGGTGAAATGAGGGGTGCACATGGCATTCTCAAACACATGTTACAGGTGACCTAAACTCCGAGGATAAGGGCTCTCTGAGAGACAGAAAGCACTGTTATCATGAGCTGCATGCGTGTAAATGAACATGGTTCAGTGCTTCACTCGGCAATCCACAACACATACCTCTTTTTTTATACAAATTATTTAACAAAAGCACAGCCTTCTGCACCAAGCCACATCATGATTTAGATTTTTACAGAAATTAATTGCTCATCCCTAACATCTACAAAAGTATTATTATTATTATATATACACTACCTTTCAAAAGTTTGGGATCAGTAAGATTTTTGATGTTAAAAAAAAATAAAAAATGTTTCTTATGCTCATCAAGGCTGCATTTGACCAAAAATAGTAAAAACAGGAATATTGCGAGTATAACTACAACTTAAAATAAAGCTTTCCCATTTTAATATACTTTAAAATGTAATGTATTTCTGTGATGCGCAGCTGTATTTTCAGCATCTTCAGTGTCACATGATCTTCAGAAATCATTCTAATATGCTGCTTTATTATCAGTTGTGCTGCTTAATATTTTATTTATATTCTTTATTTATTATTATTATTTTTTGGAACATACTTTTTTCAGGATCCTTTGATGAATAAAAAGCGATTCTGCATTTATTCAAAACAGAAATCTTTTGTAACAATAAGCCAATTTAACATAACCTTCCTGAATAAAAGAAATAATTATTCAAAAAAACAATATTGACCCCAAACTGAACAGTAGCGTATATATCATTGTTAACATTTCTATTTTGAATAAATGCTGTTGTTTTTTAACTTTCGGTTTGGTTTTTTAACATTGATAGTAAATCAGCACATCAGAATGATTTCTGAAATATGATGTGACAAGTACCAAAATAGAAAACGGTTATATTAAATTGTAATTTCACAATATCACTGATGCCCTCATGAGCATAAAGTCACTACTTTATATTTACAAATGATCAAACTGATGAATGGCAGTGTATGTCAATTCAAATAAATAAAGTTAACTATAGCCTGAACAACTTAAAACACATTTTAATAACTGTCCAGGCAGAGTTGGAAACATTGTAATATAGAACTTACGCCCAGAAGTCCTCAGCTGTGTCGAACTTGGTGATGAGCCTTAGATTGTCTTGCCACATTTTGCTCTTATCATTTTTGTAGAACCAAAGCCCCCATCTGCAGACAAACCACACGCAGGGAAGAAGCAGTGAGCAGACGGGCCAGAGAGAGAGGGAAGCGAGGCAACGTCTGCAGCCTGAACGCACCTGTTTTGTAAAGGGTGCTTCGTACAAGGGCCCTTCAAAATGTGCGTTTCGACTTTCTGTTTTTCAACCTTCTTCCTCGTCACTTTCTCGATCTGGTAAAATGTAAAAGAAATGAATGGCGTGGCACAGGCGCACCATGCGTCTCCGACGCCGCTCAACTTTTGGCCTGAAATCGCTTCACTAAAGAAACAAAGGTTTCTCTGGCTTATTGCAGGTGAAAGAAAACACATGTTATTAGACTGACACGTGTGTGTGCACGGTGAAATGAGTACTGTAATCACGGACAGGGCATGCTCACCAGCTGCACCGCGCACGACGCCATGGCTCTCCTGTCTCCTGTAGCGCGAGAGAGACCGAGCTCGCACAGCGCGCGCATTTATAACCTCAGAGCGGCGTTTAAAATGATGATTTTGAAAATAAAGAACTATTTTGACTATTGCAAACTCAATTATCACACTTTCGAAACAACATAAAAACTAATAATTTATCCTTTTTTTTTTTTTTTTTTTTTGCATTTAGTGCTTTTCCAAACCTTGACTGGGTTAAAAAGTAATGAGAGCAGGATTTTGGCAATGCACATTCTAGTCAAGAACCTGATCTACAGCTTGTGCGTTGACCTCAACGTGTGCATTTCTGTTTCAAATATGTGTGTGTGTGTGTGTGTGTGTGTGAAGCGTTTTGGAGTATATATATATAGATTGATACAGTACTGTGCATTTTCACCAACAAAAAATATGGTTTAAGTCAGTTATTTCTATCTTTTGCTGTAGTGTGTCAGTAGGAAATATCAGTTTACATTTTCATACATTCATTTTGCCAATAATTGTAATAATGCAGTGAGATTTCAGCCGGTGCTGCACACAGAGATCTGATCTCAGCATCATCCTCCAGCCTGACTCCGTCTGCAATTACATGAAACTGAGACAGACTAAATCCAGAAGAACTGTGGCCATTACTCCAAGATGCTTCAAGAAACCTTCCTGCAACGCTTCCTGAACAACTATGTGCAAGTGCACCAGACAAAAGCTGTTTTAAACACAAAGGGTGCCCACACCAAATGTTGATTTGATTTAGTTAATTGAAGTTAAGTGCTAAATAAAATCTATTTCTGACATTATTTCTGAAAGCATCCTCACTTTACAGCATTTTTACACAAGTGCCTAAAACTTCTCACAGTACTGGAGCTTTGCAGGAAGGTTTCTTGAAGCGTTTTGGAGTCGTAGCCACAGTTCTTCTGGATTTCTGTCTCAGTTTCTTCTGTTTCTTCAGGATGATGATGCTGAGATCAGATCTCTGTGTGCAGCACTGCCTGTTGTTCATAGAAATCTCACTGCATTATTATAATTAATGGTGAAAGGAATGTTTGGAAATGTAAACTGATATTTCCTACTGACACACTACAGCAAAAGATAGAAATAACTGGCTGAAAAACTTTTTTTTTTTTTTTTTTTGTGGTGAAAATACTAATGGCCTAAGACTTTTGCACAGTAGCTACTGTATATTATATGTTACATTATTAAAACTAAAGGCAGGTCGTGTTTTGTCTCATCATGTCTTAAGAATCAGTGACTGGATGGTTTAATATTTTTAAAGTCATATAATTCTTATGACATCCAGTGCAGTATGTTCAACTCACCACTAGAGGTCTCCTTCACCTGCTTATTGAAATGGACTCTAAAATGGCACACAATTCAATATTCACACAATTTTTATTCAAAAGATGTGAAAGACTTTTTGATCAGTCCTTTATGTTTAGAGCAGGCCTTTATTTTTGAATTGATGTACATTGTGATAATTAAATATATGAATTTTTCAATATAGTTTAAATTTATTTGTAAAATATAATACAATAAAATATAAATGTTTAATACAAATATATAACAGCAAATTAAAAATGAACTTCAGTATATGGACTAAAAAAATAAAACTTAAAAAGATTAAAAATATTGTTTGTTTATCTGCATGTCATGATGTGACCATTAACCAACATCAGAGACCCTGAACCTGAACATGTATTGTTAAATTATTGAAATATTAGCTTAAAATCTCAGGGGGACTTGGTAAGTAAATATTTGGGGATTTGGCTGACATTTACATTAGGTTACATTAAGTATTACTCTTTTAAACCTACCAAACTTATAACAATAACAACAAATGAAATGTAGGTGTATTTGTTGCATGAAAACAATGAAGGGAACAGATTTTTGACAAACTTAACCTCACCCCCGTTCAGTTTTATCTGAATATAGATATTAATAATTTTGCCATTGTTACAGACACAGAAACAAACACAAATACTGGCTTCACTGCACACACCTATGGGTTAATGTACTATCATTGTGTAAGAAAGCATTATGTATGTATATATATTATATATGTGCATGGTCCCAGCCCTGAGATCCTTGCTGGTCCCTCCTGGCTTATTAGACGCTCTGAGTCACCTGCTGAGATACCTGATCAAAGTGCTCTAGTTATTGGCGATTCTATTGTACGGAACGTGAACATAGAGACACCAGACACGATGTCAGACACTGTAATATGCTCTGGTTACTGTGGTGATGAGATACATAGCAGACTCGTCACTCAATGGCTGGATGTCTAAGTGGTGCCTGCAGAATAACATAGGTCTCTTAGACAATTGGAGGAGCTTTTGGGGCAGACCTGACCTGTTGAAAAGAGATGGTCTTCATCCCTCCTGGGGTGGTGCCGCGCTTCTCTCTAGAAATATGGCACATAGTCTTAGAGTTTGTACTTGACTAACTGGGGCCCAGGTCAGGAAGCAGACAGACTGGCTAAACCGACCATCTGCTAGCCGCCTCCCGTCACAGAAATCTGTTAATTCTCAGCACATAGAGACTCTTTCACCTAGATATCATACTATAGAGACTGTGTCTGACCCCCGAACTAGAAAATACAAAAAAACGGCCAAAACAATTTAAGTGTAACAATTTAATTTATGTTCAACAAATAAAAAACAGATATAATACAGATAAACAAATGATAAAGCTTGGCTTAATGAATATTAGATCCCTTTCTACAAAAGCTCTTTTTGTAAATGATATGATCACAGATCAGAACCTAGATGTGCTCTGTTTGACAGAAACCTGGCAAAAACTATATGATTATATTATTTTAAAGGAGTCATATGATGCGATTTCAAGTTTTCCTTTCTCTTTGGAGTGTTACAAGCTCTTGGTGCATAAAGAAGATCTGTAAAGTTGTCAAAGACTAAAGTCTCAAATCCAAAGAGATATTCTTTATAAAAGTTAAGAGTCAGCCACGCCTACCTAAAACGGCTCGTTCTAACA